TGGAAAATCAAGATCATCTCTGTTTCTGCTCCCAAATAGATCTTTTCTGAATGAGTGCTGACACTTTCAATAGCACTGCTTCAGCAAGTAATTACATACAGCCTTGCTGCTTCAGCTGGTGCAAAATTACATTGAATGTTAGACTGTAACTTCTCTGGTTTCCAAGCTGAACCAGCTTTCCCTCAGCTGATCTCCCATTATTTTCTTTTCAAATTCCACTATAATTTTTATTCTGACTCTGTCTTCAGCGTAGAAATTAGTAGCTTCATAAAGAAAACCCCCCTTTTTAAAATAGATTAAAATAAATGGAGATGGAAAGCTGAGCTTCCCTTTTCCGGAAAGATATAATTCTGCTCCTCTTCTTAGGTAAACTCAAGTTGTGGCGGCTCCCCAGTCTTTTTCCTATGCTGTCCATGCATTGTATCATGAGAACAAACAACTCAGTTTAAATTGTCCAGCAAGACTTTTTTATAAATCTGTTCCTCTTCAGAGACACCCAGCCCTTGTAGTACACAACGCATTCAAAGCATAACCTGTCCGGCCATACGCAGTATGACTTGTAAACCAGACGCTCCAGGCAAACTAAGACAAAATCGATGCAGACAGCTACCTAGCTGGTCCTTCCTTATCCCAACCACACAGAGTAAATTACTGCACTGAAGACGGTGAGATGGTAGTCAGGTGGAAGGCCTCAAGCCCATGAGATAAGTGCTACTCTGTACTTGTTAAATGCTTTCCTCTGAAGGCAAATCCAAACCATGTTACTGGGCTCATACTCTCTTATAAGCAGTATTTTCCTCAGAAAATTAATTTCAAACTAGGTAGGTATTTCTGCAATTCATTGTACCCCTGGACGTGATAGCCAAAAATTTAGTGTTTAACCTCTCTCTTCTTTTATGGTTGTTTGCTGAAAAAGAGAGATTTATTTTGAAACCTTTATCTAATTTGTTCAGTATTTCAAGGGTGGTTTCTTTTTTCTATTAAACTGTTCCTCAGCTTCTTTAAGGCCTCAGGTTTTCCTTCTCCACTCAGAAGCAAAGGCGACTACGTACATCAGTACAGTGATATTTACCCCATCGGTTTCCACCACCACAGAAGAAAGGGGTCAGCCCCCAAGGAGGAATTGCTTCTACCTCCCAGCCCCAAACCCTTCATCAGGGCTGCAGTCTTACCCTCTACCCAAGAGATCCCCTTAAAAAGAAGTTGGCTCACCATCCAAGTTTCATTCTAACAATTTACAATGCTTCTAGCCTGCCATTTTTACCCATGACCAGAAAGAATCAAAGCTTGAGCCTCCTGGCCAAAATCCTAGCTTATATCCCCCTGAGTCTATATGCAACCTCATCAGTTTCCAGAGACTGTGGAGATTTTAGAGTAAGATTGCTATCATCAAGAAAAGCTATGTTAAAGACACTTTCCATCCAGACATGAGAACTAACATAGCAAACAGGAGTTAACTTGGCATCAGGTTGATACTTCTGTGATTGGCAAATCTGTGTACGTAACAGCCAGCACATGGAAATGGTTAGGTCATTAGTTATATAAAGGAGATTTTTCAGATGTGTGGAATAATGTTTGATACCTAATGATACTAAAAATAATAATAATTAAAAAGTCCACATGGATGTGTCATTATGGATAGGGCTTACATAAATACTGAACATGCTGGAGACTTGATTAGGAAAAGCATTATTAAAAGCCAACGTTTGGCAACACAGTTGTTTAGCCAAATATAGTTGTTTAGCCTCCTAAATATAGTTAGAATTTCTTTCTGTGCGTGCTACATGTTGACAAGTGCCTGCTTTAATTTTAGCCCTGGAGATGAGTAAATCACAGAGCTGACACTTCCAGCTCATCCCCTAGGTGCAGCATTTCTGAAGGGTGCAATAGAAATTGCTGACTGGCAAAAACTGCAGGTGTTGGTAGCTGCTCACTCTGAGGCAGGCTTTAAGAGCCCAGATTTTCAGAAAGTACTGACCACCTCTCCTTGTCCATAGCCAGGCTGACACAAGGTCGAGGCACATGCAAGGTCAGTTGCTTGTTGAAAATCACAACCACCTGTACCCATCAGCACCTAATACAAGCACGTGTCGACCCTGTCAACAACCAACAATTTTTTCCCCACCTCTCTTGAACACTGAGCCTTTCATGGCTTTTAAGTCCAATTTTCATGTGTTTCCTCCCTTATGAGACAGAAAATGACAGATTGACACTCAGGGTTGCTTTTCCATAAATTTCCTTTCAATTTTGCCTTGGTTACAACACATTACCTTAAACACAGCCACCTCCAGGCAGCAAGGCTGTTGAGTTCTTCTCAAGGTTTTGCCCATCACTCATCTGGGCAACACAACCCAAGGCTGCCCTGGAAGTACATAGGACTGGGTCTACCACGCATCACTGACACCACTCACAGGCTGGCATCCCCATGGGACAGCCAGGATGTCACAGATGACGTGCTCTTGCCAGTACAGACACAGCAGCAGCACAAATTATACATCGGAAAAAGCACAAGGTTTTATGCTTCTGCAGCTTCAGAAGAAAGATAATGTTAAGATACCAGTATCATTGTCCAAAACGGTTGTGTTACTTAAAAGTCATCGTAACACACTCAACCACTTTGCTTTATTGAAAGGACTGACACCCCTGCCACATCTTTTCTACCAGACAGGTGCTTACCTCTATCACAGGGATCAATGAGCTGCCACTACCCCCTTTATACATGTATGTAACCACCATTACTCCTGCCAAGCCGCCAGGAGTGACTGGAGGCTTAAAGCTTTCCATCACCTCCCCACTGCTGTGGGGGTGACACCTCACACCGTTCCACCACAGCCTCTCCTTGCCCATGAGCAGGCAGGCTCCATGGCTTGCTGGGCTTCAGTGACCACCACGTTCAGGAACCCCAAAGGGGATGTGAGGCCACACACTGCACCATGGCCAAGTGCATCACGTAGCCAGAGCCCCTTGTCAAAAAGGCCCTGCAAGACAGACACCACCAACACACCACTGCCCAGCTGACAGAAGGACATCATGTCAGGGAAGTGGCCACCACGCTTCCCTACACACCTGCACGTATAACACACTGAGCCACTGCTCACACAGCTATAATTCTTTAAATAGCTGGGATTTAAGGGCACTCTTACTGCAAAGTAATGCAGTTTCACATTCATCACACTGTTGAGTCAAGGTTTGATATAAGCCACAGAAGTGGCTACATGAGCAAGGGAAATTTACAGCTGGCCAAGTGATGAAAAAAACAATTAATATCATTACCCATTAAATGACAAAATGCATACACCATCCCACTACCAACTGCTAACTTACAGCATGCTGAAGGAAAGATGCAAAACTAAAATGCATTATTGTTCCTGAATAAGCCTTCAGAGAAGTAGTTAATAACACCTGGAGCGTGCTTAGCCAGAGCCTTACTGAACCCACAGTGCATTAACACACAGCTAAAGCGACAATCCCTTCACAGGTGTACATGCCAGAGGGGCTTTGTGGGGAACGGGTTTGTGTGCTATGGAAGCATCATGGAGCGCCTCCAAGACCTGAACACTGAAGTGGGAGGACGGTGGCAAGGCAAGCTGACATCTGCTTTATCACTCATGGGTAAGTGAGCACACGGTCACCTCCTGCCGTGCCTTCCTCACCACTTCCCTGGCAGCAGGATCGTGCCACCAATGGCATGACACAGTGCACACTGCCCACCACAGGCTCCCTCTGGCCACTTAGAGCTGCCTTTGCTCACCATGTTAAGCAATCTCCAAAAATTTCCAAGCAGAAGTGCTAAATATGCTCCCATGATCCCTCACACATGATTTGGTATGACCAGTGGGTTTTGCCCCATAGGATAAAATCCTCTCCATCCCTAGCCCCATTGCTTTGGATAACTGATATTTGATAGAGAACAAAGCATGGAAATCCACCAAAACACCACAATTAACAGCTGGGTCCCTCTTTTCCAGTCCCCCAACCATCAACAGTGGCACTGCTTTCACCAGGAAAGAGTAGAGAGGAGAGGGGAAGAAACTATCACTACCCAGTCTTTGTCACCCTCAGGACCTTCCTTCTGATTCACCCTAGAGTACCTTGGCCGCAGCTGGGGGACAGGGGTCTTCAGGTTTCTAAATTGACTGCAGAGGGAGGTGGAGCCCATTATGGCTCATGGATGAGGTGTCCACCACCAAAGCACCTGAGATGTCCTGCAGAGCTGCAGGATAGGACTGCCAGCTGCAGAGCAGCCATTTCTCCATCAGAAATTTTGCTTGTATTTGACAAAAATCCTGCTAAACCATAATCCCCCTCAAAAGAGTGTTTCAAACTCAGTGCATTGGCATTTTCTAACATAAATTTAATCTGTTTTGTTACCCTTGTTTTAGGAAAGTATTTTAATAGCATAGTAAGGCATAGAGAAGCCAATTATTCAGCCACACTTTAGCACATTTTGGTATTTAATTTTAAATTTAAAACTCATATTATCCCACACTATCTAATAATAAAGTTATATCCATCACACCATAACACCCAAAGCTGTCATTGTCCTGCATATCATCTAATTGTACAAAGCCATGATAACATATCAGATAAAAATGATGAAATTCAAGAAATGGAGGGAAAGGTGTTAACTACTTAAATTAGATCATAATGTAAAATCCATTTTCAAGGCAGATCCAAATACTTCCTTTGTAGCTGAATTTTATTATTCAGGACAAATGCAATCCTATAATCAGATGAGCTGCAAATCCTTGGTATTTATGAGGTTTGGAAATGCAACAGGAGAGCACGAGAAGGAAATATCCCAGAAAGCACTAAGCAGGAAGGATGGTGGCAGCAGAAGGAATTTCTGATGGCAGGACAAAGGTTTTAGAAAATGTGCATTTGTACACAGAGCTTTTCCTGGGAAATTAAAGGCAAATTATTTGTGAACTCTCAAATAAAATGGTAAAAAAGTATAGGAAAAAAAATAAGGGATTCTTTTAGCTAGCTAGATGACTCACCCTCCTCAAAGATGTTCATATCTGTTTACAATTGTGGCACAATAGCAAAGAGGTGTCCAAAGAAATGAGTCCAGCCTTTAGCAGTTATTGCAGCCACCCTGTAAAGAGAACAGAACTATCTTTACCACCCGATCTTTATCTTTGCAGTGTCAAAAAATTTGAGCCAGGAACAAACACTGCTAGAATCAAAATGGATTTTGGAATTAGATTTACAAATATGAAGAAATCCCTCCTGTTTAATATAATTTGCTTAGTTCTTCTCACTGAGCCCAGCAACTAAGAAAAAAAGGCCCTCAATGACTAACGAGAATAGAGTAAGAATCCTACATAGCTGGCCAAGGAAAAAAAATGGCAATTGCCTTTATATTTAGCACTGAAAACAGATATCCATTGCCTCAGCAATGAGAGCTAAGTTGAAATTTCTCTGTGTTTCTCCTTCTGTCTGAAAAGTGCGTGGCATGCTGAGTGCCACCATTTGTCAACAACAATCCAAATGTTATGTTATTTGGTTAAATTTTGGACTTAAATGTGCCATATGATTCACCAGCCAGTCAATAAAGACACGTTAACTGCATAGGTTGTTTTACAATATATTCACTCCACATTAATGTCTTTCAAAAACTAAGAATATAAGGCAGAATAGTCCAGACAATGTATTAATTTTAAGATATATCCTGTGGTACAACATACCCATAATGACTATAAAGATGCCTTTTTTTTTTTTTCCCCACTTCTAATTTCAAAACTCTGAGAAAAGAACTGATTATTAGAAATATTTAATGGCTTCAGCTACAGACTCAGTAGTCTTCTCTGGCTGTCTTGGAAATGGAAATACCATCTGGGTAGCAAGCAAACTAATTAACTTGCAGTGCATCAGCTTTTATTTCCAGCTATGTGTTTGCTGATATTTGCATTACCAGGAGGTTGTCAACCACATATCCCTTATCCCATGAAGCCTGAATTGATTTAAATCAGGAAGACATTTCCCTGCAAAAGCACAGCTCTAAAGCAGTGCTGTTTTCGTGGCCATCACCCTGGCTTGCATGCCATGGAATCCAGGGTACTAGAAGCATTCTGAGTATTTTGCCTCATCCTGGGTTTAATACACAGCAGCACCTGGATTAACATTCCACTGTCTTTCAATGGTTCATCTTCTAGAATCTTAAATTAACATTTCGTAATCACAGATACTATACTTGCTTGTTCTGCCCTTTCATACCTCACACAGAATGTAGAGTTCCTTCCTTTAATGAGCTTTTAAATACTCAATAATCATTTTTTCTCTTCTCCTTATAAGAAAATGTCTATGAATGGCCATTGAGTAACCTGGGACCCTTTACTGTGCTTGTACCGACAAACAGGGGACTCAAAGGTATCAATGTAAGTAAACAACAACAAGGATTTTGAATGAGAGAGATTTAGCTCTTTCAGAAATCTAATCTGCATTGAAAGCACTTTGATTCAGCAGATTCAGAACTTTTTGCTCTAGTATACTTCTGGCATACCATTCAAGTCTAGAGACCAGAGGCTGTCTTTTTACTATTTGAAATAAAAGCAAAATAGTTTGGTGAATCAGAGTAGAATGTAGTCGTGTTTTAAGTAAATTTTGGATTGTCCCACGTATATGTTTGAGGGTTTTTCACTTGAATTAAGAGCTGAATTTTCAACAGGAAGTCCTAAAAGTAACCCTTTGTGTAAGAGTGATTTTTTTAAAAAGTGCTTTTGCTGGTGGGGTGGTTTGGTGGGGTGTTTTTGTTTGTTCATAGTTTGTTTTTCTGCTTGTTTGTTTGTTTAAAAAAAAAAAAAAAAAAAAACGTGGGCTCATTTTAAAGGGCTTAATATACAGGACCTTCCACCAAAGGTCTTGGAGGCACTACTTACCACACATGCAGGTATATAGGCATGGGATCTGAACTGAAACCAAGAGACCTTTACTTTGTTCAGACTATCACCTCACTTCAGAAGAAAACATATCATTTCAGAATTTAACAGTTGCAGGAAAATTACACTATGATTTTATTTATTTATTTAAGATGAATCCTGTATTGAAATACATCTCTTTTCTTCTCTTTTTCTAGATAAAGGACCTTCTGAGCAATAAACTGAAAGCACAGTACTTTGTGAAACTCCATATAATTGCTGGTCAATTGGATACCAGTAGCTTGAATAATACTAATGTAATATATACTTTGACTGGCAAGTCAGGAGAGATATCAAGAGGAGAAAAGGTAAGTGACCTTCCAGCAAGGATACGACTTCATGGTTTTAATTCAAAACGTCTAACTGATGTTTAATTCAAAACATCAGTATAAAACATCTTTCCTCTGTGAGGCATCAGGCTGCAGAAACTTAAAACCTCACTGGCAACAAAATCAGTGAAAACAAAAGTTAGTTTTGGAATTGCATCATTGCTGAGTAACTACAGCTCTAAAATGTAGAGTAATACAGCTCATCTTAAGCCATCTTAAATCTGCAGACATAGCCAACAGAGCTAGAGGGGACATTTTAGCCATCAGAGCTAAAGGGGGCATTAAAAGAGCACAAAAACTGTGAGGTGGTGTGGGAAGGTAAAAGCTCAGAGCTTATGCTGGAAACGCTGTGTTCAGCTCACACAGAGCAAGCACTGACTGCAATATAGATCCCACCTTCCACTGAGTATCAGCCTGGGCATCCTTTGAACAATGCAGGAAATAGAAGTCTTCAACATAAATAAAATTCACATAGCAATTTATCATGAAAAATGTGGGGTAAAGTTCAACACAAGCCTGTCTATTTGATGTTAGCAAACATTAGGGCAGTCTGATGCCACGGTTTCAAAGATGTATTCTCTACAGCTGCTATAACAGATTTTACTAGATTTTTCAAGAGCTATTGTTCTTGGTCCACTAAATATCTGTTAATGGCTTGAGCCTGTGTAAGGGCTAAAATGAAGTACTTCTCATGTTTTCTAGTAAATCAGTGACATCTAAGAAACGAGATCTATTGTATTTCTTTAATGAGCACGCATTCCATTTGTAACAGGAAAATATTATTGCTGTCTGAGGCCTGCTAGCTTCCTGCAGGCTTCAGAACAGTGCACAATCAGCAACATTTTGTTGTTTTAAATATACATATAATATAAGGAAATGGTTTGTAGTCCCTTCAGATTATGGGAGTTGACCCATTCACTGCAATCACATTTTAAATCATTTCCTCCCAGATTTTTATTAGTAAGAGTCATCAGTGTTCTCTCAGGTATGCTGCTAACAGGTCACTCCCCCATACCTGCTTCTCTGCCAAACTTTGCTGTTCTGAAACAAAATAACATGGTCCCAATCCAAATTCAAAGGAATGTTTTCCATTTCCTTGATAGGCATTGGAAGCAACCTTTAGCCTCCCCAGATTTAAATGGCCCAGATGTTGGCGATGGAAGCAGCTGTTAGATATTATTCAACATGCATACTCCACCTGTTGTCATTCCATGATAAAGAGCTCACTACTGCCTGTCTTCTTTCAGGATAATCAACTAAGAATTAGAATCCAGGGGGGAAAGAGGAAAGGAAAACTTTTACAGGGTGATATTATTGCTTCCAATGGAATTTTGCACATTGTTGACAAATCCATGGACAACATAGAGCCAACATTTGAAAGCAACAAAGAGGTGAGACGTATGCTATACACATACAGCGTTGGACTTTCTTTTACAACAGTTTTACGTTCATTTAATGCAAAGGAATGTGACTGACAGCAGCTAGACAAACTACTGAGACACTGTGCATCAACTCAGAGAAACAACATTCAAGGTGGAAAGTAGCAATGCAGTTTCTAAGGCAGACAGATACTTGCTCTTCTGCCAGGCTGGTCCATAGACACGGTTGTACTCACTGCATTTGAGCTTTCATTCACACACACACACAGACACCCCAAAGGCTAAAATTACAAAAACTTATAATTTGGGATGCTTTGGGATTTTTAGTGCCCAGCTTAGTGTTCACCATTTACGTGCTGTTTTTGTGAATATTTTCTCCCTCTGCCCCTTTTCATTGAAAATGCACAAATAATAACACACACATTTATATGTTCTGTGCCCACACAGTATTTCAGAACAATGACAAACTCTAAGCCAGCATTGCATGTAGACTAGAAGACCATACCACCTCAGTTGTTTCCAAACAGCACATCCGCACAAACCACATGAAGACACAAATATATTCAGATCTCTAATAACTGAGAGCCATACAGTAATTCAGAAACTGTCTTATAAGAACTGCCATTCATTTTAAGTAACCCAACTAAAATAAATCTGATGTTCATCTTATTTTAGGAAACCATAATGTCAGTGCTTCAAGATAATGAAAAATACAGCCAATTCACATCTTTGATAGAGGTAAGGATTCAGAAAAGCAATTCCATACAACCATACAATTATTTCAGGATGTTTTCCAAAATTAATATGTAATTTCACTTTTATTTGTAAACCAAAACAGAAAACTGGCCTGGGAATGGATTTACAGCAGGAGAACAGACCTTACACAGTCTTCATTCCAAGTAATGGAGCTCTGAATAATATGAAAGCTGAGGCTATGGATTACCTGCTTTCTGCAGAGGTACAGACTTTCTATAGAGCAAATTGTTCTAAGTAGGTATGTGAGTGGAATATAAAGTAGATGCATACATATGTAGTATTCCAGCTTTAGCATTCATTTAACTTAAGGAGATCAAGGCTTAAGCTATCTAACAAAGATCAGGAATATACTACAGAGGAATAAGATTTGGGGCCTACCATCATATGAAGTGATGCCAAGGCCCCCACACCAGGTCCCTGCTCACTTGCTGTTGTCCTGACAGCCCAGCCCTGATGGCCGCCTGGCAAAGACCCAAACTCTGCCATAGGAGGCGTCACCCCTGTTGGGAATGATCAACGGGAGCAGGTGCCACAGGGGCCCTATCAATTGGGGTTGCTACTGGTAGAAGGACCTCAGCATCATGTCCCCTGGGTACCCCCTGTCTCTGCCAGTAGACACACAATTCGATGAGGGCTGAGAGGAGGGAGTGCTTCTGGGGAAACCAGGGATGGCTTGTAGCATGTGAAAGGCCCATGTTGAAAAAGAAAAAAAAA